GGGGGACACAGGGGTGACAGCCTGGGAGCAGTGGGTGGCACCCCGACCCTCTGAGTGCCCCACAGAGAGCACCCGACCCCCCAAATCCGGCACCCCACGGGCACCGTGCCATGTCCAGCACCCCACAGGTGTCACCCCAATCCCACAGCTGGGCACCCCACGGGCACCGTTCCACAAGGGGCACCCCATAGAGACCCCTCAGCCCCACAGATAAACTCCCATGGGCACTCGGCCATGCCCATCACCCCTTGGGCATCACCCCAGCCCTACAGCTGGATACCCCATGGGCACCGTGCCACGTCCAGCACCCCACAGATGTGAGCCCAACCCCACAGCTGGGCACCCCATGGGCACCAAATCATGGACAGAGCCCCACGGGCATCATCCAAACCCCATAACTGGGCACCCCACGGGCACCAGGCCATGCCCAGCACCCCATGGGTGTCACCCCAACCCCACAAATGGGCACCCCATGGGCACCGTGCCACGTCCAGCACCCCACAGGTGTCACCGCACCCCCACAAGTGGCCACCCCACGGTCACAGCGCCACACCGTGCCCCCCACATCCCCCCCCACGCCCCTCGCCCGCGTCACCCACTTGACGCAGTAGATGAGGTGGTCGTGCCAGTCCACGGTGCCCGGGTTCTTGTCGTCCTGCTGCCAGGCTCGGAGCTCCAGGTGGCTGCGGTTGTTCTGGAAGTACTGAGTGACGCTGGACACGGCGCAGTCGCCCACGCCGGGCTGGCTGGGGTTCAGGGGCGCGTAGCAAACGTCCTGCAGGCTGACATTCCTGCCCGAGCCCGGGGCCCACGCCGTGGTGGCCGCCAGCGTTTCCTGCAGCTCCAGCAGCACCAGCAGCACGTCCTCGGCCAGCACACCGCTGAAATTCTTTGTCCCCAGCAGCACCGAGTCGTAGGCGACACCAGAGCGCCCCGGCGCCGTCACGATGACCTGGTTGGTGCGCAGGAAGGGCCCGAAGTGGCGGTCGTGGAACGCCTTCTCCTGCCTGGCACGGCTGCCCGGCGCTGACCACAGCTCCACGGGGTTCGTGGTGAGCCTCAGGGTCACCAGCCCTGCCGAGAGCCCTCCGGCCACCACCAGGGCCACCAGCAGGACCAGCACGGGCCGCGTGGCCACCGCCGTGCCCCAGGAGCGGAAGGCTCGCTCCAGGGAGCGCTGCCAGGCATCGCCCGCCCGCTCCGCGCACTCGCCCCGGCCCCGAGCCTTGGGCGGCGGCTCCGCGGATCCCCGGCGGCACACACGGGCCAGCACGAAGGTCAGAGCCAGAAGGGCGAAGAGCAGCACGCAGATGACCAGAACGCCATCGGCACGGCCGATACGGAACGGCGGCGGCGGGTCCGGGGGTGGCACCACGGGCGGGCAGGAGCGGGCACAGTCCTGGCACGAACACGGCTCCTGCTCGGCGTCCAGCGCTTCGTCACAGCCCCACACGGGCGCGTCCAGCGGCACGATGCCCTCGCCGGGCTCGGAGCTGTTGGGCAGCAGGTGGAAGTCGATCTGCAGCGGTGCCAGCCCGTTGTTCTTGTCGCCCTGGAAGTCCAGCCAGCGCTGGGCCGTGCACAGCTGGGCTCCGTAGCGGCCGCACATGGTGGCGATGGCGTAGCCGCCCGTGGCTGGCAGCCGCACGTCCTGGCACGAAGCGAAGGCGGCCTCGGCGTAGCGCTGGCTGTAGAAGAGCTGATACTCCAGCACGGCCAGGGCTCCCGGCTCCTCCGCGTAGTCGATGACGCGGGTGACATTGGTGAACAGGCTCTGGTCCGGGCTGCAGATGTTGTGGCAGTAGAGGTTGGCGAAGTTGCGGGCACAGGACGGGCACCGAGCCAGCACCGCTCCCGACAGCCCCACGCTGCGCTGGAGAGCCTCGAGCTGCACGTAGTTACAGCACACGAGCGTGGTCTCGTTGTTGCCCCGCACCAGCTCCGGGCACACGGTGCGCAGCAGCGACAGCAGCGCCCCCGATGCCACCCGGGCAGGGGTGTTGGACAGGCAGGGCACCCGCGACGACACCAGCGACACGTTCACCTCCGGGTTCCGGCCGCACTCGCCGTAGAAGGCGCAGAAGCCGGGCTGGTGAATGGGGGTCAGCGAGGGCGAGGCCTGCGGGGGTGGGCGAGGGGACAGGGACGGGTTTGTTGTGGCTTTGACCCTTTGAGTCTTCACCCTTTCCGGCGCAGCTCAGGGGGAAGCCTCAGGATCCGCCACATGGAATAAAAGATCAACAAAAGAGGCTTTTCCCCCTGGGGAGGCTGCAGCGTTTATTTCTTGTGGCTCCCCAGGAGCGACAGGAGAGGAAAAAGGAAAGAGGGAAAGAGGGAGAGCTCAGGGGGCTCAGGGTCCTTCCCAGGGTCTGAAAGGGGGGCGGGAAGAAAATGGATCCCGGGCAGGTCCGGGCAGGAGGGAGAGGGAGCAGAGCACAGGGCACTGCGGGGGGCACGGAGTGTTCCGCTGCCTTACGTCTGGGGAGGTGCAACACCTGGTGGCACGGCGCTGGCGCGTGAGGGGTTAAGTGGCACCTGGTGGGCACTGAGGGAGTGTCCCCTGCACTCTGCCACACCCGGCTCCCCCAAATGGCACCCAGGTGTCACCCAAATGTCACCCAAAGGGCACCTGATGGGCACCGTGGAGGTGTCCCCTCCATTCTGTCACCCCCCAGCCCCTCTAAATGGCACCCAAGTGGCACCTGGTGGCACTGCAGAGGTGTCCCCACAGCTGTGCCACCTTCAGTTCCTCTAAATGGCACCCGAGTGTCACCCAGGTGTCACCCAGTGGGCACCACAGCAGTGTCCCCCGCACTCTGCCACCTCCAGCCCCTCCAAATGCCACCCAAATGCCACCCAAAGGGGACCTGATGGGCACCATGGAGGTGTCCCCCACCTGCTGTCACCCTCAGCCCCTCCAAATGTCACCCAAAGGGCACCAGAGTCACTCGTCCCGTCACGCCCGAAGTATCACCCAAATATCACCCAGGTGTCACCCAAATGTCACCCAGAGGGCACCTGAGGGGCACCACAGCAGTGTCCCCCTGCTGTGTCACGCACCGCCCCCCCCAAATGTCACCCAGCTGTCACCAGCTGTCACCCAGCGGCCACCACAAGGAGCGGCTCTGCCACTCCCAGCTCCTCCGAACGGGGCCCAAAGGGCAGCAGGGCAATGTCCCCCGTCCTGCCACCTCCGATTGTCACCCAAATGTCACCCACTGGGCACCCACAGGGCACCACAGCAGTGTCCCCGTCAGCCCCTCCCAAATGTCACCAAGGGGGCACCGCACCCGTGTCCCCCCATCGCTGCCACCCTCAGTCTCCAAATGTCACCAAGGGGCCACAGCACCGCTGTCCCCTCGGCTCTGTCACCCTCAGTCCCCAAATGTCACCCCATGGGCACCGCTCCGGTGTCCCCAGCCTGTGTCACCCTCGGTCCCTAAATGTCACCCGGGTGTCCCCTGGCTCTGCCATCCTGTGCCCAAATGTCACCAAGGGGCCACAGCACCGCTGTCCCCTCGGCTCTGTCACCTTCAGTCCCCAAATGCCAGCCGATGTCCCCCCACCTGTGCCACTCTCAGCCCCAAATGTCACCCCATGGGCACCGCTCCGGTGTCCCCACCCTGCCACCCTCAGTCGCCAAATGCCGCCCGATGTCCCCTGGCTCTGTCCCCCTCAGTCCCCAAATGTCACCCGGTGTCCCCTGGCTCTGTCCCCCTCAGTCCCCAGATGTCACCAAGGGGACCCCGCGCCGTCGCCCCCCCCGCCCCCCGCCGGTGCCACTCCCAGTCCCCGCCCCCCAGCCCCCGTGTCCCTCCCAGTGCCACCCGCGGTGTCGCCTGTCCCCTACCAGCGCCAGGAGCGCGGCCAGGAGGGCTCCGGGCAGTGCCGGCGTCCCGGCCATGCTGACACGCTTGTCCCCAAGTGTCACCTGCGCCTATAAACCCCCCCCGCCCCCGCGGTGCCACCCGGGGAGGGCCCTGCTGGCCTGATGGCACCGGGGCCAATCAGCCCCGGGCCGGCCGATCGATCGATCAATCATTAACCCCGATCGATCATTAACCCCCATCGATCATTAACCCCCATCGATCGATCGATCGGGGCGGGGCCGCGGGAGCCGCGCGGGGCTGGGGACAAACAGCGGGTGGCGCTGGTTTGGGGACAGGGAACGGAAATGGGGACAACAGAGGGTGGCACTGGTTTGGGGACA